GTAACCTATCCAGGTTTTGCTGCAGTCTTTCCCTCCCTACTAGCCTGCTCACCTCACCCCAAATTTTGGTATCATCAGCGAATTTAAACAGCTTGCTTTTCACCCTTTCGTCCAAATCGCTGATAAAGAAATTGAACAGCACGGGCCCAAGGACCGAGCCCTGGGGGACTCCGCTGCCCACTTCTCCCCAGGTCGAATATGACCCATTTACCACCACACTCTGAGTACGACCCTTCAGCCAATCTGCAATCCATCTGACACTGCAGGCATCTAATGAAAACACAATGAAGGAAAATATCCAAAGCTTCATAACTTTGGGGAAAAAAATCTTTGCAAAAAGCCTCTGAATCAGAATATCCTCTATGCAATTGCTGGCTCTTTAAGCAATTGGGGCACAATACAATAACCCTATTTACTCATTTGTCTATATCAAAAAAGCCAAATTGGGCAAATTACTCTTAAAACCAGTAAGCATATTAAATATTCGTATGTACCAAAGCGAGCAGAAATTAATGGAGAGAATACTACTGGAGGCTGTTTCATGATAGGAGGGAGGACCATTGGGAGGTGCTGTCCTTGTAATTTTAGTTTGATTAGTTTCATGGCTATGGAGAATTCCTGTTGATCCATCTTCCCATCCTTGTTCAGGTCTGATAGAGCCCTTGAAAAAGACAGTGAAAGAAACATTAGCTTAAACTTTTTCACTAAAAGGTAGTGTTTCCATGATTTGATTGTTTTGTTATTCTATTACAGAAAATAGATACTGGAAGGCACGCCTAATCGTTTCCTTACTTGAGTGTCTTTTGTCTGAGCTTCTTTTAGTATCTATCTTTCTGACAAAGAAGCAGTTAACACTTGGACTAAGGACAGAAATTACTCATAATCTGCTATAAGTGGTTGGAAACCTGTTCAAATCAGTGACACAACAGAAATTCAGTAAACATAAACCAATTTCAAAACGGCCCAAACCGGTTTAAGATAAACCTGGATGGATGTAGTATCAGACTTAACTGGTTTATGTTAAATCAGCTTATTGAACTTTTGCCCTAGACCCCCTCCAGATTCAAGTTAACTCAGTTCCCCCAGCATCCCAGGATGCTTTGCACCTCCCTTGGAAACCCACCCCCCTCCCAGGGTGGGCAGGCTAGCCTTGGCCCAAGTTGTCTGCTCCAACCAGCAGGGAGACATGCACTAGCACCTCTGGCCTGGACCACTGCAGGCAAGTGGCTGCATTTCCAGAATGTCTGTTCACTTGCTTATTGGTTCAATCTCTGCACCTTAGACTAACCTGAGAAGACTGAATCAATTCAGCATCGGGCTTTATGATTGTCTGTACTTAGCTTTGGAGTTTAACCTGCTATTGATTTTATAGAAAGTTAGATATGACTTTCCACAACACACAAAGCCTCAGGTCGCAGATCCCAATTTTTCTAGCAGCCAAACTACCATATTTTCTTGCACACAACACAAACCTTTACCTCCAAAATCAGGCCCCCAAAACTGGGATATTAAGAGGGGAAGCTGATTTTCTGACTGGGACAGAAGCACGCTATTTTGATTTCTGCTCACAGTGCAGCAGCTGTTGCATTACTATTTAGGCAGCTGAAGGAGTCAATTGACATAATGGCTCATTGTTCTTCACTCCAGAGATGTCAACTATTGTCTTTTTTTTCAGTTGTCTGAGAGCTGCTCCTGGTTTCTCTTTCCTTCTGTTTCATAGGCTTGGAAATTCTTTAGCTCTCTTCACAAATAATAGGACCACCCAAACGGACTAGTCTTCAGTAGCATGCAGGGTTTTAGCTTAGTTAAGCAGGAAAAGGAGAGCAAGTCAGCTGAAGATTAGGTTCTGTCTCTGCTCTATGAAGGCACAAGTTGGGGAAAAAAAAAAAATCTTTTTTTCTTCATTCTACCTTTCCAAACAAGACATATTATATTCAGGGATGGGCTGTATGCAAGAAGATACAGTGTTCACTTTGAAAGTCAAGCTGTACTGGTGACCGTAGTTTTTTTTAAATATGCTAATAAAGGCTACCTGGCACCTACTGATGTGACTCGATTTCTGAAATTATTACACGCTAAAACATTCAGTGCTCATGGAACTAGAAGGCTATTTGGAAAAGCATCACCTTCAGGTCCAGTCTGATGCAACACTTACTGCATCAATTTTGCCTTAGCACAAGCCAGACCGATCATTTAAATGAAGATTTGGCATGGCAAGACATCAACATTCTTATACATAACATCAATTAAATGTAGTTATAGATCTTAATAAAAAAATTATCACTATTTAAAATTTAATTAGTATGTAAAAATATATTGTTAAAGCTTATATTCTCACCCATTTTTCTTGGTACTTCCCTAACCTGAACACCATACAATTTTGTGTGTGTTGAAACAGAATGGGCTACTGACGTGCAAGTATTAGAATTGAAAACAAAACTAGTGAGCAAGTGAGAGAAGCTGTGACAAGCTGTTGTGCACTTTAACAAGTAATGATCTCATATGGGAACTTTAAAATAGAAAAAAAAAGAGAAAGAGGTAGAACGTTATATTATGAATATTATGCAACATAATGAGAGGGTTGAGACATAATGAGGGGGAAATGAGAAGGCTGACATAAACTATTCCCAGAAACTTCAATCGTCTCAGAAGACAACTCCATAAAGCAATATATTTTATTGTCAACATCTTCCTGGTGTTTAGCCCAGATTTTCCTTCACTGTTCATGCTACAGTTCCCATTTACTGTGCGCTGCACAGCATATGATACAATTCCTCCCCATTCATCATTTACAAATATTTGAAGAGTGTAAAGATGAAGAAAAATATACATTTAATCAAGATATAAAAACCTACCCTAATGCTTCCTCACAAGTCAGTTCCTCCAGTTTCTTACAGACTTATGGGTCTTTCCTCTGAGCTTTTTAATTCGTCTATATTTCCGACAAAAAGTCCCCAACACTGAACACAGCACCCTGGAATGGACTCAGCAATTGCAATGAAAAGACCTGTCACACTCCTTCTTCATGTGTAGATCTCTCTTGCATTTGAGGTTTAATACTATATTTTGGGGTGGGGGTGGTAGGGGAGAAGGAATTCAGTTGTTTTTTTACCTGCATTTGACCAGCATGTTTCTACTAGCTGATCCTTACATGAGGCCTAACAATGCTATTTGGGACAGTCCACCATTCCCGTCCCACACAGTGGATACCTCCAGTTTATTCCTACCTTTTGTTTGTGATATTTGAATCAGTTTTTAATCCCTGGAGCATAATTCAAAATTAACCACTTCAAATTAATTTTATTAAATTCTTGATTCAAAAGTAAGTGTGGCTCACGCAGACCTTTGCACACAAACAGTTCTGTTGAGTCAAATGGTGCGATCAGGGCCTGAAGAAATACATCTACTGAGTTCCTTTAATCCACTGATTCTGCCAGAAACACAATCCAGGGTGTCTGTCTCCAGTTTTTATGTAATTCACTGTTTAGTACTCAAATTCCATTATCACTTTGTTTCTCATAGTATTTCTTTTGGTATTGTAAAGGAGATCAAACCTTAGCTAATAGGAAAATAAACAAGAAATAAATGGGTTCCCCCCAAATTTTTGTTTGACCACTATAAATAGAGAGTGGGAAAATGGAGTTTTAGTAAACAACAAACCAATGTCAGTACATGAGCCAAACATCTTAAACCTCTAAATAAAAAAAAAAAATCTTACCATATTTCAGCCAGGACAGAAGCTGGTAGACCTGACTGTAAGAAAAAGGTGCGTGCTTGTTCACCTATGACCAAAAAAAGAGAAAAGAAAAGAAAAACTAAAGTCTTATATGAAGCAGCAGATATTTATCAAGGTCAGTGCTTTCAGAAGAGCTCAGCACTCCCACTTCGGGCCAGATTTCCAAAAGATCTCAAAATGTTGAATATTAAGCTCTTGAAAATTCTGCACCACAACTCCTTGGTGATGTTAGTTGGCAAGTGCTAATGTATTTTGTAGTCCTGACTCCTGGCTTCAGGAAGTGGATTAAATTAACTAAAAAAAAAAGGTTCGTTGCATACATCATAAATCCACAGGAACCAAGAACTTTGTACAGTATAATTTTAGATTTAAGGAAACAAAGGTAAAATTTAAAGAACTGAGTGTTCAGTGTTGGCCCCACTGACTTTTAAGGAGGAAGGAAGAGTAGGGTTTTTTTTCCTGCTGTTAACTGATTCTAATTCAATCCAGTACAGGCTCTTTCAACTAGAAAAGAAAGCTTTGTAAAATACATTATTCTGTACGCAAAGAACACATTTCCAACCAATAAACACTTATTCAGTATTGCAGGGATGGGGCATGATGTGCTATGTAACTCCATACCAAGTTTCACAGCAATAAAACACAGATCACATTATTAAGCACCATATTTTCTCAAGCACCACACAGCCCCAAATAAGACACTATACTATTTTGGGAACACAGAATGAAGAAAAAAGATCTTTCCAGAGTCTTCCCTGTTACAGCACCAGATCACCGTGGTTTAACTTCAGCACAGCTGCTTGGGCACAAGCTGCTACCAATTCAGAAGGGGCTGTGACATGGTTAAACCTCTAGCTTTGGAGCAGTAAGGAGAGGGTGAGCAACACTGAAAACTGGACTCCACCCCCTCCTGCATAAACCTAGGAAAGCAGCACAGCCCCCCACCACTATTCCAGCATCATGCCTCCATTCCAGCCTGGAAATTAGTTTCCCCCCTTAAAACAAGCACCCCAAGTTTGGATGGCTAATTTTTGGAGAAAGGGTGTGTGTGATACGTAAATGCAAGTAAATATGGGATGTGGACAGTGCAATAGAAGTTTTTGCACCTGCATAGTAGCGAGTTTTCAAGTCAGAACCTGCATTTATGCAGAAAATCGTCTTACATTCACATAGCATTGTAAAGCACTTTACAGCCAGGTCAGTAATCCTTCACCCCTAAAGTCCAGCCTTTTTTCAGGTGGAAGAGACAGTGCTCGGCAAAATGATTCAGCAGTTTCGGAGAAGAAAAATACTGAATGCAAATGAATCTGTCAGAAGGCTACACCTAGGCAAAATACAATTACGCATGCTGAAATTTGTGGAAGGTGAAAAGCTTAATATTCCCTTGCTTTTGATAAATTCCATAAGCTCCTGAAGAAACACCAAGTGTCAGGCCCTTTATTTTTGCTCTGCATACCAAAGAATAAAAACTGCCATTGCAGAGAGACCTCTAATGTGGAGAGAAGAGTGCCACTCCCTGAATCACCAGTCATTTGCTACAGCAACAACAATAAGCACTCTTTCACAGCTGCTCACATGACCACTGATTGTCCTATTTAGTCTATGACCGGATGGGATGACAGCACAAGATGGTTGGCTCTCCAAGTGAAGATTTTAATAAACCCTTTTGCAGACTTTCTGTGCCAGACTGTAGACCAAACCTTGTAGAACAGTTTTATAACCCCCAGCAGTACTTTGTGCATAGTTATTAGTCATATAATGAAGAACTGGGTGAAAATGAAAGCTTCTAAATTGTTTTATAGGTACTTCAGGTACACAAGGGTTACTGTAGAGCACAAACCAACCTGTAATGTATCCTCCTGTGGGTTTAAGGCTATCAAACTGCTTGTCATGCTTCGCCCGCTCCTCAGATGTGATAGCCCACATGTTTGGCCCTCCTAAAAAACACAGATTACAAGATATTTAAAAACAAAAAATGGTCTCTGTCAATTGAGAAATTCAAGCTTTGTTTCTTAAGAGACCAAATTAGACCAAGAGCTTCTGTAACACACCCTGCTCCTACCAGCTTGGCAAGAACACTTACGAAACGTGATGTGTAAGACTTATTCAGTGTTGCATCTGGCTTGCTTATATGCTGTTTTCAAACAAGCTATATTTTTTTCAAAAGCTGGTGCAGGGCAGCTTCCTGCCACTGCTGATTGTTCATAGCCCAGGCAGGAAGCATGTTGTGTGGGCTAATTTGTGTGACCAAACTGTTCTCCTGATTCACTGGTAAACAAATATGAGTCAATGTTGTTTAAAGGTTCTTGGACAGGAGGCTAATGTATGGCAGCTGCCAACTATAGACTTGTGCTACTTCTCACCCATGCAGCAAAATCACAATTGTTGCTTGCAACAACAAGTGGTGGAGCTGTGCATCACCTTTCAAAACTGATAGCATATATTTTCACTTACTCTTGAAAAAGTTAAATTAAGAAGAAAACAAGAGTCCCAGGGTGACAGTTATTTCCTTCTGTTTGCTTTAGATGTTCCCTATTTATACCCCTGGTTCCTTCTAAAGGATAAAACCAAGAGTTGTGTTGTGTTGCATAGATCATAACAAAGGGTTGAATTCTCAGATGTGCCAAATCCCACCAGAGGAGTGCAGGTTGATGCACTTGGCAGAGAAAAGGAATGATTAAAAGTTACTGAGTGGGATAAGTGCTATATAAAATCCAAATATAGCTTTTGGCTAGCTGTCAATGTGTATTCAACCAAATTAAGACTTAGCCAACATTCCCAATGGGGGTGTGGGGAAGGGAGCCAAAAACATCTCAAAAGATCAGGGTGATAATATGCATCATAGATCATCCTAATGGTCAGCAATGATAGCCACCACTACACACTGAGCTCAACATCAGGAATTCTATAAAATTATTCAACTGTCCCTCAAATAATTTTTTTAGCCCAGTGGAAAACTAAAAGTACACTCAGCAAGTTGCCTTAAAAAAAGCCTACAGCACTCGTAGAAAGAGTATTTCTTTACAACACTTGCAGCACTTCCATGTTCCCTAAATACTGCTCCAGTTTCAAAATGGGGAAGGTATTTCATTCTTTGGAGGGTTTCCAAAGAACCCCTTACAGTTTCCAGAGCTCACAGCAAAGCCAACCTGTGTGAGGCTAACACGCAGAATGTCAAACACCTGCTGCTCCCCTATGTATGCAGAACAAGGAGAGTTTCTCTCTTCTCATGACAAGACCTTGTTAGGAATATAACTGGTCTCGTCTATTAATCCACATGGATAAGCATCTGTCAGGGAGGGTTGTGCTTCTCTGCAGGGAGCTGGGCTAGATGACCCTTGAGGTCCATACCTACCGTATGATTTTCCTACGCAGAATTCTTTTACTTCCGCTATTTAATATGGAATAAGTCATGACTAAGCAACCAAAAGCCTGGTGAGATACCAAACACAATCTACAAATTACAACTCCTGCTGACAGCAGCAGCAGTAGAAGCAGTGATTAGGACTTCTAAATATACCCACAAGTGGGAGACCCACACTCAAAGTACTTAGTACAGCACTGTACTCACGCAGCACTTTACTGGTCTGGGCAACAGCAATGTACGTTCCTAAAGGCACCAGGGATAAAGTGCCATAAAAAATGAATAGAAAAATTACAGAGGTGGAGAAAATTACTGTCAGTGCAACTTCCCAAGCATGTTTCTGTCTCATACAAATACAGGTTTCATTATCTTCTGAAACCAACTGTGTGGCAAGAGCTCAAGGGATGATCAAGAACAGAACGGGTCAGAAACCCGACAACATTCACAGGGTAGCAGCCACTTTAAGCCGGAAGTGTGATTTCACAGTTCCTTACATGGGGTTACTTTCACCATCTGATCTTTTAAGATGCTAATTTTTCAACTTATAATGCTTCTTTTTCTCTGCACCTCCCTCAGCTTAACTAGTGACAGTCAAATGGCAGTTTCACTGTCTAGTGCTCATAAACACTGTCTTCTGTTTAAAAATTGCACATTCTCTGGTTAAACCCTCAAAAACCATGCGTTTCCATGATTAAAATGAAGTACCACTATATATAGGTTTCAGCTTAACACAATGTTTTATTGATATATTTACAAGTTTAAAGCAATCTGGAAGCCTACCAGTGCCTCAGTCGCTATAATAAAGTAAATTGTAAATACCTATACATTTTGGTGTTTGATTATGTTTTTTTTTTTTTATCATGGAAAATCAGAGCACCCTCTGCCCCCTTTGCTCACCATGATGCGGGCCCAGCTGCAGCTGTCCCTCAACATTGCTTTGTGGTGCTAAGCAGCCCCGATATGCCGGTGCCCTGCCCATGACATTATCCCTCACTCCCCTCCCACAGTCCCTAATCCCCTCCAGGCCCGCTGAAGGGGACCCCTAGCTGCCAGGGCTACAGGGGCCAGGGACCTGGGTCCACAGCAGCGCCCAAGCCTTGGCTGCTTCCCAGAGAGGCAGCTGCTGCTGCTGCAGAGCCAATTGGATGGGGGGAGGGCAGATGCAGGCTTCCCGCTGCAGGCATGGGACTCCCTGCCCTGCTGCCCTCCGCCCAGGACCTCCTGGCCTAGTGGATGGGACCCAGCATGGCAGGGTAGAGCGAGGCCAGATGAGGAAGCTGGATGCCACCGCCAGGAGCCCCATGCCTCTATGGTGAGGCACCCCTTGCCCCACAGCAGTGAGGGGCACAACTCTGCACTGCTGCCCCCACTGCTGCCAGGTGGGCAGGGGGTACCTCGCTATAGTGGTGTGGGGGTTGCAGCAGCAGATCCCATCTTCCCGCCCTGCTCTATCCTGCTGTGCCTGGTCCTGCCCGCTAGGCGCCGGAGGGAGGGTGGGGGCAGCCTGAGCCCAAAGCTGGCAGCCCACATCTGCCCCTCACACTGCACATAAATTTGGGGGCCATGTGTCCCCCATGCTCCCTCCGGGAATGCATGTAGCAGTGGGGAGCCACCCCCCACCCCGCCACCCCCCAGATGAGCCGCCTGCGGCTCTGTCCTGCTCCCTGCCCAGGCCCTGCAGCTGCGCATTCCAGCCCTGGGCCCCACACTCTGTCTGGGCTGGGCAGCACTCCCAGCCCCAGACCTGCCCAATTCCTTCCTTCCCACACTATGGGGCCTCAATCCTCCCCATCTCCCAGATTTACCTGCAGGAGCTGCTCTCCAGGCTGCCTGTAGCCATGTGTACGTGTGCACATGGAGCCCCCCTACCTGACCACCATCCTCCTGCTCCCTGAGGCCCCTTGCAGGCTGGAACTCTGCCAGCCTGCAAGTGGAAACTCACCGTTTCCTACATTTCTCTCCTTAAAAGGAGAAAGTCCAGGTTTTTCTCCTTAAAATGAGAAAATCCAGGTTTTACTGTATTTTTTCATGGTGAACAGAAAACGGAGATCCCAGCTCATCAAGTAGCATTTTGTTGTCAAATCTGAATCCAAAATACTTCAGGGGGGTGTTCATTTCAACATTCAATAGAAAAAAACTAAGTTCATTAAGTCATCAACTGGGCAAAACACTGGCAACAAAAAACTTGAAAGCCTCCATGTATTTTTCAGCACAATTTAAGTTAAAGATCTGCTAAATCCATCCAACTGAGATGGTCTGATTTTATGAGTTTTCATTTAAAAACTAGACAAAAAACCTGTTAGTTACAAGTGAATTTAGCTCAAATCCAAAATAAAAAAACTATAAACAAATACTGACCTCTCCAAAGCTGCCAATTCTGCATGGCTCCAAGGTGCAAGGATAGGTCTACTAACACGGAGTTAAACCTGAACTACTACCATGCATCTATGTAAAGTTCCAAGATTTTGGCTCACCCCTTCATTCACATTCACAAGGGTGACTGTGCCCAAAAGCTTGCTAAGAACTTCTTTCCAGCTACGCAGTTAGTCTAATAAAAGATATCACATCTACTCAAAGAACCTTGCCTGCCTGTGTCCTTAGACCAACATGGTTACAACCAAAAACCCAACCACTTTACCTACAAAGTAGTGTAAGATAATCATTACTTTTTTTGACCAGAGCCTTTTGTGCACTCCTGCAGCTGGAAAAATGTACTAATTGTGTGCTGTGAGTTACCTTTTCCTACCAGACACATATTTTTCAAGATCTTAAGAATGCTGCCATGGCCTCAGTAACCTTGAAAGGAGCCCACAGAGCTATTCTATGAAGGTAACACTTGTGTGAAGTGAACTACTGACACATCACTATGTAACCCTAGCCCCATGGCATTTAACTGCTGCATACTCTGCATTGCTGATTCTTAGTTCTAGTTTTCACTAGAAAAAGGTCTGGCAGTACAGAAACACCAGCAAGCTCTCAGACACCATTTTTACTATCAGAATTGTGCTTTTGCTGGCAGAAGGTATCATATTTATCCATATCCAAGATGACTTCAAATGTAAGATGAGTCCCCAATAAATTAGATTCTATTTATGGAAAGTCAGAAATCTGTTACAGTTTTCTGTGTATTGAATCTAATTACTGGAGGGTCACCGTGAATTCATTCCCCTCACTGCAGCAGCAGGGAAAGCAGTGGGGGGCAGGGCAGGAGGGGCAGGTGTACAGACCACTGCCCCTTGCCCTCTACCCACTCTGACACTTTCACCTTGCCTCCCTGCTGCCTACATCCCCCAGCCCCTTGCCTATCCCTCACCCCCAGGGCCTAGAGCTGGGGCTGCAGTAGCTGCCTGCCCCAAGCCAGTTCAAATCCAGGACAAGACTTTTCCACACACACCCCTCCCCATGTTGATCAGAGGAAAAAAAACAACCTTGTCTTAGACTTGAGTAAATACAGTATATCATCTCTTTAAATTAAATAAACTATCTCTGGAAAAAATTGTTGTGGATAAACAGCATCTACAACAGTGTAAAAATGTAATTTAAAAATCCCTGCCCCAAACCAATATTGTTACA